GGCGGCGGCGGGCCGGGGCCTAGCGCTGAGGGGAGGAACGGCCGCGCGCTGGGGGAGCGCGGCCTAACGGTCCTAACGGCTGCTCTAACGGTTTCTCTAACGGCTCCGCAGCTGCTCCGTGGCCTGCTGCAGGACGCACAGGGGTAAGTGGCGGGCGCCGCGGCGGGGAGGGAAGGGAAGCGGCGGGGCCGCCGCGCCGCTAACGCCGCCTCGTCCCGCAGAGCGCTGCGCGGCGGAGCGCGGCCGGCCGCGGGAGCGGGAGGCGCCGGAGCGGCCGCCGGAGCAGCCGGCGGCGCCGCGGGCCCCGGGCAGCGCCTGGTCCGTGTCCGACATCCTCACGGAGGACGACGAGCAAGACCGCGTGCCGCTGCAGAAGCTCGAGCTGCTGGGTAATCTCCCGAAGCGTGGCGTTTCCTGGGGGCGTCAAGCAAAACAGGCAGGGAAACGGGAATTCCCGTTAATTCCCTGTGCTCTGGGCGTGCAGCCCCTTGCAAGGCTGTAGGGCTGTCAGATAACCGTGCTTGATTTTTGTTGCTGTTAAACAAGGGTATTTGGACCCTTTTTTTTTCTGTAAAACAAGGGTGTTTGGATCCTTTTGTGTTTGTAGTATTACAGGCTAGCAGTGTTTGTCTCTGTTTTGAAGGGGAATCGGAAGAGCTGAGAGGCCTGCTCCAGAACCCGCACCTCCGGCAGCTACTGCTAACGATAGATCAAGCGGAGGAAAAAAGCTCCCTCATGAGAAAGTACATGCAGGAGCCGTTATTTGTTGAGTTTGCAGACTGCTGTTTGAGAATTGTGGAACCCCCCGAGAAGGAGAACATTCTTCCAGAGTGAGCTTCGTGGGGAACGTTTTTCTTTCCCTGAAATTTTTACTCTGAGAGAAGAGATACTCCAGCACCATGAGCTGCTGGGCTACATCATGCTGTATTTCCTCTAGCTTTGGTCATGTTTTGCTCATGGACTTCTGTTCTCTAAATTTAATTTTGCTGCTGGTAAGCAGTGACACAGGCAGTCAAGGACAGTGTTGGAATGGAGAGATTTCTGAACACTAGGGATTAAAGTTTATATTCTCAGGACTCGGTTTCTGTTGGTACAAAAATCCTGTCAACCATAGGAAATGCTCCTTCTAATAAAAACAGTTATTAAAAATGTTCTCATTTATCTTAATCCACAAACAGATCTTAAATGTTCTTGTTAACTAAGCCATGCTGGGGTCAGATGCATTTTCAGGATATTTAATGRTTTATTTAAAAGTGGTGTACACAGATGAACTAAATCTCTTTTGAGATCCATGTGAGCAACAAAAAGAGACTGTTCAAAGCTCTTCTGATAAGAACAGAGAACCTTAGTGCCTTGGCAGATTTGATGTTAGTGACTAGCTCCTGCTAGAAATCCATGGCAGTTGTGAGCTTACATAGATTTTTTTGGTCCCACATATAAAAAACAAGAGTACAGTTTCTCTTTTACCTGAGATATCTGCCGTAAGTGTTATATTGGACTGCTAGTCACCTTCTCAGTCACTGTCAGAAGTGTTAGAATATTATTGAACACAGGTGTGTTCAGTTAGAACAGTTGTTCATAGCTCCTGCTGAGAATCCTGCAGAAAACAAGTGCATTCATTTTTTTGCTCTCTTATTAYCAGTCCCTTGCTTCTCCATGTAGTGCTAAGTTGCTTTGTTCAAGTATATATCGTTCAAAGTATTTGATCTACTTTATGTCAAGTGTTCTCTCCTAGTGCTGACCTTTCCTCTAATATGTGGATATATGTCAGAAGAGGAATGCCCCCCACCAGCTTGTTTTAAATTTTAAGTATATGTTATGATACATAGGATGCATGACTATAGAAAGCTTTGAGGTAGCAGCAGATATGGACGTTGATTAAAGTATTTGAAAGCAGCAGCTTACAGGCAGTTCTTCCCTGGAAAGTACAGTGCACGAAGATGGCCAAAGCTTATGTGGGAAGGAGTTTCTGTCTGTCCAATAAAATCTGGTTAAATCCAGTGATGGAATAGGCATCTGTATGCGGACTGACGTTTGCGTAATGCAGGGGAGACTTCTTACAGTGAAACTTAATAGAGCCCTGGAAGAAAGAGAGAGAGAGCTCAGTTAGCGTTTTGTCAGATTTGAGCTACATTTTCCTCCTCGTGCTGAAGTGTATAAGCAGCCTTTGGACAWGGATCGGGATAGAGGAAGCCTTCCAGGACAGTGAGTAGCGCGTAAGGTACGTTACCTGTGGGAGAGCTCTAACTGAAGTGATGCCACAACCAAAGAAACTGTTTTCCACCTTGTAGCTGTGGTTCTCCTGGAGCACTTTCAAGCAGGCGAGCAGAGAGAGCTCTCTCCGCACCCCCCCTACAGTAACGGGTGCAGCAGACAGGACGAGGCCCAGAGGCCAGAAGGTAATTATTGCACTGAGAGGCCAAGTTGTTTCCAAAGGGCACTGTGGTTTGGCCGAGGTCATTGTAGCTCCAGGGAAAAAGCCGTCGTCCAACTCTTCTGCTGCTAAAGCAGCCATTTTTGTCTGAGGAAGAGATGCAGAACAATCAAYAAGCTTGAATACAAGTTAGGACAGYAAAACTAAGTTCAAGCCTACAGAACAGGATACCTTAAGGGATAAGACAGTATTTGGAACGTTTGTGCATTTGATCAAGATAAAAGAAGTGAGTTTATTCAGTAGCCKTTATGCTGCTACCCTGCAGCAGCAGCTACACAAGACTGGAGTCAGTCTTCTGCTCYTCAGCTTGAGAAGAGTTTTCAGTACTCTAACCGGACTCTGTTATTTTTGTATGGTTACTTGACAGAGGTAGATTCTATCCCACTTCCCTGAAAAGCCTAACCTCACCAAACCTTCAGTGCTTTTCCTTACCAATGTACTTACTTTCCATCTCCTCCAGCCATGCTTTATAACATTAGCTGCCCTGCGCATCCTTCGGAAGCGATTCTTGGCTAACCAGGAACGAATAGCTGAAAATTTAATCAAAAGAAATGTGAGTACCAAGAATTTTGGAAGCTGTCACACATTATGTAAGGCATGGCACTTAAACTTTCTCTATGATTATTAAATTCTCTGGTGCCATTTTAGCTAGTRTAATTAGTAATGTTGCTTGTTGCATCATGTTTAGCCGCACCCGGGCAAATTACCTGCTTGGATGATGGTTGCAGACCATCTCTCCTTCGCTAATTTCTTCTGTTTAAATCTTCTCCAGCAACACTGAATGCAAAATGCTTTCTCATTTAATACATGTACTCTTCTAGCTTCAAGATGCTCTAGCTGCATTGGGGATACAAGCCTGTAGTTAATRCTTTGGAACAGAGTTATGTTCATCTTCTACAATGATTTGGTGCTTCTCAGAAAACCAYTTAAATACCAGGCATTAGTGAATATGTATTTAAGTTTAAAGACTACTGGATCATGTTTTAGAAGTGAGAGCATTGCTTCAATGCTTACTAGCCAACATCTAAAATTAAAATGAAAGCATTATCATCTGTGCCAAAACTCTCCATTACATAAGTATGCTTTAGAAGCCTTAGCAAGGAAATACCATTCTTACCACAGAGTTAGTCATAAATACTTTTGTTTTGCCACAGTACACTGAAGAGTTTTCTGATCTGTTCCCTGCAGCCTCAGTGGTAGTTTGTTCCATAACCACATTCTGAAGAATGTCATAAATGACAGAACATAATGGTTTGTCCTCATAGGTTTCTGCAGTCTCACCTGTAAATGAAGCATTAATATATTGCAGAAGTTAGAAATTAGTACCAAATAACTGTCCTAATGCGGAGACTTCCTGGTCCTTTAGGGAGTATAYTCCTATGGGCGGGGGAGGAGGTGATGGCTGAGATACTACTATACTAGTTCTAGACATGTTTAATGGAAAAATTTAACACCATAGATTACACCATGTGTTAACAACGAGAAAGTTAGCCCAATGTTTTAAAATAGAGTGTAGTTTGGTTGCTAACCCATGTTGTCTTACCACCACTACTCTAGCGTATCCAGACCAGCACAGATGAGCAATTGTCTTTTGGGCAGATACAGACAAATGGAGGGCTCAACCGTTCTGACATTGTAAAAGTGTCCTACATGGGAGCATTAGAAAGCAACAGCAGGGCAATTAAGAATACATTTGAGCAACTCACTCCTAAGGAAATCTAATGAACTACCCCAAACTCAAAACTACTGGGAAAAAGGAGGAAAAAAGTAAAGGAATTAGACTCATAGCTTTAGTATACTGTAAACACAAGAATAGAAAAGGAAGGAATGCAGTTACAGTTCCAAAGCTTTCACAGGTTGCCAGAAACAGCTAAAGGAATTGGAGATATGTACTAAGCAGGAGTTAACTATAGCAACTAGAAGTTATTAAAATCACTTCAGGGACATGGTATGCATTTCTTGTGTATGTGTACTAAGAGACAAGCAGGTCGGACAGATAAATCTACTCGGAGATAGAGGTAGACACAATTCAGACCTGTCCTTCAAAGAGACTGTGTTGTTCAAGGCAATGCTGCGTGAGTATCTGCATGCCCAGTTCAGGAACTTGCTGATCTTTGTATCTCGCCATCCTTGATAGTGTTTTTCTGCTATAAGTAGTTCTAAGGAGATGAGAGTGTTTTAAGGTACTGAAAATGATTATAAACAATTCTTGCTTACACAAAAACAATTGGAGATTATAATACTGTTCATGGGGCTGWTGCGCAGAACCAAAAACTTATCTCCATGCATAGGATACTGTTATGCATGTTTGCAGCTTGTTACYTGATAAAAAGGACTAGTAATCTATCACAATGAGGCATTTCAGCTAATGGGTGGGGTGAAATGCCCAGCTGATGGGCATTTCAGTTAATGAGGGGGAAAGATGGTGGGAAACTAATCTTCCAGTTGGTAATTTCTTGCATCATCCTCCTCTCTTGATTAAAAGTAGCTATCAAGTAACAGTGCCTCAAGGTGAAGAGTTTTCCAGCCATTTTGCCTATCTGAAATAGGCTGGTACTTGTTTCCCATGCTCCCAGGTTACTCAACAAACYTAGTAGGTCAAGATGGGAATAATTYAGGGGAGATAAGGGAGGTTGCATTAACTCTCAATATTAAATGTAAACATTTGAGCTTCTTTCAGGTGTTCATGCCAAAGATGTTACCTTGTAATCCAATGATCCTTGATTGGATTACAGTTTTTAAAGTCCATCCTTGCTCTTGCTTTGGAAAAAGAATCTCATACAGAAGTTTGCAACAGGTTAAAGAAGCAGAAGAATWGCAGGAGAATCCGAGTAAGCTAGGTCAATGTGTTTGACAAGAAAACAAGGTGAAACAAAAAAGAAAGGAGAAGAAACACAAGGAAACAAAAAAGGTAAGTGTTTTTCAAGTTTACTTAGAAACCAACTCTGATTTAAATTAGTCCCTAAACGGGAGGTGGACCCCAAACACCACTGTTAACTGTAATTGTTTTACTCAAGATAGACAGGAAAATAATAACAGTGACACTGGCAGACTTTCATTTTTAAAGGAGCCTACTCTAAGCACTCGGAAACTGAGGAACTGAAGTTGGTGACAGCTTCTAAACAATATCTTAATCTTGAGATAATGGTTTCTATATTGCTGAATTCAGKAATCAATTCTATCTATACAATATCAAGTTGGTGCAGTGACATATTTTACTCTATAGCAGATGGACGATTGAAAAAAACATACCTTTCTTCTTGGCAGTATGATAGCTGTTTTTATCACATAYACTGCTTTTACTGCACCCACGTGACTTTCTCAGTATTTCATAGCGCTCAAGGAAGCTTTGGAAGGAGACCCTGATAGCCAAAAGTACAGTTAATTTTAGGCAAGTACCATTTATTTACCATGTAGTAAAAGTCACTGCTGTAGAAGTTTGGACTTACCTAATAGGGAAGCCGGCTGCGCTGATGGAGATGGCTTCTACTATTCCACATGCCTGAAGCTGGCTGAGAACCTGRGACACAAATTGAGGTGACTTAGGCAAACGCTGTCTTGAAAAGAACTTTGTAAGTGAATCAAGATCATACACAAGACCAAACRCAACCCTTTACGCAATGTGTACAGAAAACCTCCCATTGATTGAATGAG